TCCGAATCTCAGTAGCCGAAGATGGCCTGGGCCAACTCTGAACTGCCTCTATCTTCTTTGGATCCACCTTAATTCCTTCATCGGACACTATGTGTCCCAAGAATGCCACTAAACTAAGCCAGAACTCACACTTAGAGAATTTGACATAAAGTCTCTCCTCTCTCAGCCTCTGTAATACAATACCCAAGTGTTGTGCATGCTCCTCCTGGCTACGTGAGTACACCAGAATATCATCAATAAATACTACGTCAAATGAATCAAGATATAGATGGAATACACTATTCATCGAGTGCATAAATGCTAATGGGGCGTTGGTCAGCCCAAAAGACATCACGAGAAATTCATAGTGACCATAACGGGTCCTGAATGTCGTCTTTAGAATATCCGAATCTTGAATTTTCAACTGGTGGTACCCAGATCTCAAATTAATTTTGGAGAATACCCTTGCTCCCTGAAGCTGGTCAAATAAATCATCAATACACAGCAAAGGATATTTATTTTTGATTGTAACTTTGTTCAACTGTCTGTAGTCGATGCACAACCGCATAGTACCATCTTTCTTTTTCACAAACAGAACCGGTGCACCCCAAGGCGACACACTAGTCCTAATAAACCCCTTATCAAGGAGTTCCTATAGTTGCTCTTTCAATTCTTTCAACTCAACTGGTGCCATACGATACGGAGGAATAGAAATGTGTTGTGTGCTCGGCACCAAGTCAATACGAAAATCAATATCCCTATCGGGTGACATACCCGGAAGGTCTGCAAGAAATACATCCGGAAAGTTTTGCACTACCAATACAAAATCAATAGTAGGAGTATTTGCATCAACATCTCTCACAAACGCCAAATATGACAAACACCCCTTCCCAACCATACGTTGGGCCTTCAAATAAGAAATTACCCTACTGGTAACATAATCTAGAGAACCCCTCCATTCGACTTCGGCAACCCCGACATCGCCAACGTCACGATTTTTGCGTGACAGTCCAGAATAACATGACATGGAGACAACCAATCCATACCCAAGATTACATCGAAATCAACCATACTGAGTAGTAAGAGATCAACTCTAGTCTCTAGTCCCCTAATAGTTACCACAAACGACCGATACACACGGTCTATAATAATAGTATCTCCCACCAGCGTAGATACACGAACAGGTGAAACTAAGGACTCACGGGGAATATCCTGATAATGAGTAAAGTATGATGATACATACGAATAAGTAGAACCAGGGTCAAATAATATAGAAGCTTCCCTATGGCACACTAAGACAATACTTGTGATCACTGCATCTGAAGCAACAATATCTAGCCTGGAAGGAAAAGCCTAGAATCGAGCCTGACCGCCACCTGATCGGCCTCCCCCTCTTGGGCGACCCCTAGCTAACTGAGACCCACCGCGAGCTGGCTGGGCGGGTGGTGTAATTGCTGGTGCTGGTACCATCGGCCAAGAACTATGCTATGGAGCCCCACTCAACAACCTAAGGCAATCTCTCTTTATATGACCAAAGTCTCCGCACTCGAAATAACCCGTCCTATGATGGAATTGATGCTCCTGATGACCCGGGGAATTACCTATAGAAGCCTGAGCGCATGAGGCATGGTGAGAACTCTGTGCTGGTAGTGCACTGAATGAAGACTGGCCAGAGTGAGCATTGTAAGAACCGTGGCTAGCTGATGCACCACGATGAGCTGGACGAGTCATCTGAGTAGGCCTATAAGGGCGACCCCTGCTGTGGTAGGACTTCCACCCAGAAGGTATCCCACCAAAACCGCCCGAACCTCGAGGCCTTTTTGCCTCCCTCTCACCACGCTCCTGGCTATGGACCACCTTTATCTGCCGAGTAATGTCAAACATCTCATCAAAAGTGGCACTAGATACCTTCTCCCTAGTCATAAGCAACCGCAGCTGATACGCGAGGCCATCAATGAGCCTCTTAATCCTCTCCCTATCAGTGGGAACCAACCAAACTGCGTGACGATCCAACTCAAAAAACCTCATCTCGTACTGGGTCACAGACATGCCATCCGGCTGAAGTTGCTCAAACTGTCTACGCAGCTCCTCCCTATGAGACTGCGGCACGAACTTCTCCAAAGAGAGAACAGAGAACTCCTGCCATGTAAGTGGTACTGCACCGACCGGACTGCGCCTCTCATAAGCCTCCCACCATCTGAAGGCAGCCCAGAAATCTGAAAAGTAGTGAATGAGACCCCACTAGTATCTAAAATACCCATTGTCTTAAGCATCCACTGGCACTTATCCAGAAAACCTTGAGCATCCTCTGACTCAGAACCGCTAAATGATGGAGGTCGAAGCCTCCCAAATCTCCCGAGTCTCCTATGCTTATCATCAGCCATAACAGGGACTACTAGGGACTGAGCAGCTGCAACCGGCTGGGCTGGTAGTGCCCCCGATATCTGAATCCCCTGCACTACCTGCTCTGGAGTACGGGTAACAGAGGTATGAGTACCTCCCCCGGCCCGAGAAGTGGCTGGTGCGGCCTGAGCTGAAACCACCTGAGCAAGGCCAGTGCAAATAGTCAATATTTGTGCTAGAGCCCCCTGAAGGCCTGAAATCACAATAGGCACAGTTGGTGCCTGAGATGGACCCGCTGGCTCAACTATATCTGGAATCTGCTCCTGAGCTGGAGCAACTGGTGGTGCTACAAGTGCTTCTCTAACTGTTGTACGAGCTATACCTTAACCTCTACCTTGGCCCCGGCCTCTTGTGGCCCTTACTGGTGGCACTGGTGGCTAAAATAACATAAATTTAGTTTCTAGAATCAACAAATGCGCACGATAGAATACAAGAAAGTGAAATTTTCCTAAGGGTTCAGTAGCCTCTCGAAGATAAGTACAGACGTCTCTGTACCGATCCGCAAGACTCTACTAAACCTGCTCATGACTCGTGAGACCTATGTAACCTAGGCTCTGATACCAACTTGTCAAGACCCAAAATCCGCATGTCGTGATGACACCTATCTCAATACTAGGCAAGACGACAATCTCAATAAACCATAATTTCTCTTAAGTTTGAAAACATAATATTTAAATTCAGGTGAAAAATTTCACAAATACAGATGTAAATACACTCCCAAAATCCGGTGTCACTGATACATGAGTATCTAAATGATAACAAAGTCTGACTGATAAAAACACTATCTGAAAATATAGAATAGTATAATAACTGAAAGGAAGAGAGTCAAGGTCAGCGGACGTCAAGTAGCTACCTTGATAGTCTCCAACTGATAACACTCTGAGAACTAACAGTCGCAGTCTTCGGAAGCACCTGGATCTGCACATGAGGTGCAGGGTGTAGTATGAGTACAATTAACTTAGCAAGTAACAATACTAAATAAAGAACTGAAAGTAGTGACGAGTTTCACAGGTGAGTCCAATTACAGTAATTTCCAACATAATAAGGTAGGCATGCTTTCAAGTTCAACATTTAAGGCCAAAACAGTATTTTCATGTCAAGTTCAACTGAAACATAGATAATATCTCTCAGAAATTCACAAAACAGTGATATATGACAACTGAAGTACAACAATAATGAAATCAATGCATCCTCTCAGAGCAAAAGTCACTCAGTCCTCCCATTCGCTCAGCACTCGGCACTCGCACTCAGTAGGTACCTGCGCTCACTGGGGGTGTGTACAGACTCCGGAGGGGCTCTTTCAGTCCAAGCGCTATAATCCGCACGGACAACTCACGTGCTATAGTATAATATATGGATCTGCACGGACAACTCACGTGCTATAGTATAATATCTAGATCCGCACAGACAACTCGTGTGCTGCACGGACAACTTACGTGCTATAGTATCAATATCTCACAATCAGGCCCTCTGCCTCACTTAGTCATAAATCTCTCCAGTCTCTCGGTCTCTCAATAATCATGAACATCAGCCCCAACAGAAATTTTATAATGCATCAATAAGGAACAATAGAGACTCAGATAAAATAAACAAGTAAACTGTGACTGAGTACAAAAAATTAATTTAGCACATAATTCAACATGTACACGACCTTTGTGGTTCCCTACAGTTCCAACACGTAATCTAAACATGACTTCTAACATGGTTTGTGGTTCAATTTCTCTACTATATGGAGAATGTACAGATAACAACAGATTATTCAACTACACAGTCCCATGGAATTTGACCAAGTCACAATTCCTACGGTGCACGCCCACACGCCCGTCACCTAGCATATGAGTCACCTCAAAACCGATCACATAACACATAATCCGGAGTTTCATGCCCTCATAACTAAATTTAGAACTGTTACTTACCTCAAACCGTGTAATTCTTTATTCTGCTATGCCTTTTCCTCGCGAATCAGCCTGCGAACGCCTCGAATCTAATAACAATTAATTTGATTCAGTCAATACAAATTATAGAAATTAATTTCATATAAAATACTAATTTTTCCAACAAAATCGAAAATTTCACTCAAAAATCGCCAGTGGGACCCACGTCTCGGAATTTGACGAAACTCAAAAAAATCCGATAACACATTCAATTACGAGTCCAACCATACTAGTTTCACTCAATTCCGACTCTGAGTCGACATTTAAATCCCAAAACTTTGTTGTATGAAATTTCTACAATTTTTTCCAAATTTCCATCTCAAAATACTAATTAAATGATGAATATAATGATATATTCATGTATATTAACCAAATCCGAATTAGAATCACTTACGCCGATAAATTTCTTAAAAATTCCAAAAAATATCGCCACAAACCGACACTACATGGAAAAGGTCTATTACCGACCAACCTTTTGCGGCTGGTTGAAAATCTGGTCCCTAAAAGCATACTTATATGGACGTGATTTTCTGCTAGTCCCTAATTCTCGATTTTATTTCTTAAATAGCGAAGGGAGTAAATGTGGTCTGCAAAAAAATCAATAACTGGTTCCTACTGCTCCAAATTGAGCGCGGGTGAGCATCACTTAAACTATTTCTTAAAAAGAATTACGTACATAAATAAATTAAAAAGAAACTAAAGTAATTACATAAAAACACCTCAAACCTAACTCCGTGTCAAAAAACATAATTTCAATGGTACTCGTCCTAGCTTCTCCACAAATCTCTGGTGCCGCAGTCCCCTTTCCCTTAGGCAACCGAGCGAAAATAAGGGATTCTCAGACTCAAGAAAGATCTCAAAGTTGCTGAAGGTAATTTTCTTAATTTTTCTTGTCTCTTTAATTTTTTGTTTATGCGTGGATTTAGAGCTATGTAAGAACACTGTCAATGTTTTCTAATTTCTCTACCCGGTGACTTTTTTGCTAATACAAATTCAAAATTTCCCTTTCATTTAGTGATGTTCCCTCTCGTTTTACTATTCTTTTGTTTTTACAAGTGGGTATAACCGTATGAGTTGTAGAGCTAATTTTTTATAATATAATATTCTAAATTAAAGTTATCTGTGAGTTTACAATCTCGATTTTTGTATGTTCTCCAAATGTTATGGGGTTTTATTTTGTAGGGCTTGCTAAATAGTTTGTTTGAGGCGTAGATGATGTTGCAGTAGGGTAAAAAGCAGCAAGACAATTGTCTTCGAAGGCGTGAACAGTGAACACACAGCAGTAGGAAAAGAGAGCAAGGGTAGATGTTTCAAAATCAAGGAGCTTCTTCAAAAAGTTGTAGTCTTATTGCAATATTGTGTCGGAGAAATATTAAATGGAAAAACCAGCAAGATTAAACGAGGTAACTAAAATTGCAGTCTGCTATTGAATTCTAATTTTGAGATATCTTCATTTTCTAAGTTCTATTTGTCTTTACGTGACAGTGATTGAATAAGAAAAATTAGAGTTCGCAAACAGATAGTTAATCAGTAGACATGATAGAAAAGTTATATGAGAGACATTCTAAGTTAACAGTTGCAAATTTTGTAGAGGATGGAGCTTAGAATTATTGAGAAATTCAGGAGTATACCCTAGTTTTTTAGTATAACTGACAGAGAAAGAGTAGTGAAAATTTATATTAAAATATATAATTTTCTCTTTATGAACTTTAAAGGTATCCTATCCTGAGAGGGAATATTAAAAATCAGCCCAGTTTAAAGGAGGAGTAATTCTCTGTTCAATTAAAGGCATCTTATTTAGACTTATGCAATACATTTGGTTGTTACAATTCTCAGCTCAATTAAAGGATTTCTACAAACTTTTCCGTTCGGTGTCTCATGTACATTTGCTTGCATTAGATGTGGAAAGAGCTACTGACACTCTTGGCAATTACTTTGGAGTTTGATGCACGTTTTTTGGTATGTTGGACTCTAGTCACATTGGTTCAGTCTTATAAACAAGGAACAGGGGATGGGGACATAAGAAGATAAGAAATATTGTGGTTGAATACGTGAGGCAGAATGATTAAACTTACGAATATATACATTATGCATTTTGCAAGTTTGCACCTCCGGGTGTTCTAATCCTTAGAATGGGTTAGGTGAGTGCACCCTTGTCAAATTGAGATTTTTTGATTGATATGAGTTGTTTATTGAACGAGCTAATCCTTGATCCTTTTAAATACCTACATTTTTCTTCCTGAAGTAAATAGAGACTATTGAGTATTCATATTTAGCCTTCACTCATAGAATATGACAAGGTATTTATTCTTTTACCAATTTTTCATACGTTCTCTTGTTTGCTCTATTTTGATTTTCATGATTACTTTGATCTTTTTAAATAAACACTTCTTGAGGAATGTCTTCCATTGGAATTCTTAAGTTTAAAATGATGTTTTAGCTATAGACAACAAATTGTACTTGAACAAACATATATGAAGAATGGTTGGTAGTTTCAGTAGATTGTGTATTGTCATATATCTTAGGCTCTTATTTATGTAATTTGCTCGATATCTAGCTCTCAAAATTGCTGATTATAAAGTTAATTACCTTACTCTTTCCTGTAATTCAGCTTCTTGAAGCGGCAATGAAGAAGTCTCTCCTCCTTGAATTGTTTGGGTGAGTTTAATCACTATCACATGCCATGAGTTTGTGTTTTAATAACTTGTGTACGTAGTACATTCTAGATTATATTTTATGTATTGAGTAGGAACTCATTGTCAATATTTGATTACTTGAAGATTGTGTCTTACCTGAGGAAAGGAGGTTCACTGCAGATTGGATTAAACGAGTTTACATAATTGAAAGTTGTGAAACAATATATTAACATGGATAAGTTATTTTATATTAATCCATTTTTGAAAAAATATAATTGGATTATGTACGAAAATAACATGCTTTTAAGGAAAAGGAATCATGCAATATTTAGGTGTAACTCTCCATTTATGTTTTCTTTTAGATACTCAATCAGATCCTTATAATTTTCTAAAGAGAAATTACTTATTATTGTTTCAGGGTTTGAAAGGTTGAGGTTACAATTGAAGATGCGAGCTTTGAAGACTTCGTACAAGTTGAGAACATGGTTATCATGCGTTTTGCTAGGCAGTTTGGAACCCATATTTGCCCAGAGGTTGTGTAAACAATAGGGGTGATATATGAATCTTGATTATATAATTATCAGTGGGATGCTAATATACTTTTGTAATTAATTACCAACTTTATATTTGTAAATGCATATTTGGATATGAAAGCATGATTTTGTTGATAATTTCATTTATGTTCGTGTGATTATTTATATTGATAATTGTATAATTTCAAATAGAAATGACAGGAAACGATTCTTTAAGGACCAGATACTATTATGTAGAAATACCTTTTAGGACCAGTGGATACTCGTTGCTAAAAATGTTGTAGGGACCTATTGATCTATGATTTAGGAGCAGAAATCTAGTCTCTAAAAGTGTTTTAGGGACAAGATAATTTCCAGTCGCTAAAACACTTTAAGGACCAGTAGCTAAAGTTCGTCGCTATTGGCCTTTAACGACGAGTGGCGACTAGGTTTTGTTGGTCGCTATTTACCCTTCGCTAATGATATATTTTCTTGTAGTGCAAGCTCCCAAAATTCAAATATGAAATAATACTCTAACCCTCGTTCATATAGTACAAAAATATGATCCCTCATTTTGCTAACCGCACAATTTTTTGTGCGGCCGAAAGTCCAAATTGTGCGGTCGCACTTCAACGGTGGCTACAATACCAGGCTTCAGTAAATTGACCATAACTTTCTGTAAAAATGTCCAAATAATGAATGGTTTAACTTTTTGAAAACTAGATTAGAAGGCCTACAACTTTCATGTTTGGAGCATCTCCTAATTCCTTGTAGATTAATAGATATAAACTTCCGAAGTCGGACTATCGAATCTGCAGAATTTTCTTTCTGCAGCCGCGAGAGGATTTCTGCGGTCCGTACATTTCCTCTACGGTCCGCACCTGAGGCTTTGCCTCAACACTCCAAAATGTGCCCCCCGCACTTCAAAAGTTCCAGAACATCAGAGGACCGAAATGCCCAGACTCGCTCAAAACTCACTCCGAAACACACCCGAACCACTCGGGACCCCGTACGAATGTACCAACAAGTCCTAAAATATCATACGAACTTAGTCGAAACCTCAAATCACATCAAACAATGCTAAAACCACGAATCATACCCCAATTCAAACTTAATAAAACTAAGAACTTTCAACTTCTACATTCGATGTCGAAACCTATCAAATCAAGTCCGATTGACCTCAAATTTTGCACACAATTCATAAATGACATAACGGACCTATTCCAATTTGTAGAATCAGATTCCGACCTCGATATTAAAAAGTCAACTCCCTGGTCAAACTTCCAAACTTAAATTTTCCTCCTTGAGACTAAGTGCCTCAATTCTTTTCAAAACCTCACCGGACCCAAACCAATTACCTCGACAAGTCTTATAACAACTGTAAAGCATAAATTGAGCAGTAAATGGAGGAACAGTGCTGTAATACTCAAAATGACCGGGCGAGTCGTTACACTAATTGATCCTGGACTTGGCAAGCATAAATTAGTAGAGAGGCATACTACGGGCAAGCCTATGGTATGACTGAATTCCTTCGTGAGAGTGAGTGATAGTTGTTCAATTGTGTATTATGTCCCTAATTTAAGTTCAAGGTCATACTTGAATGTGTGGAGTATCTTTATATTCACTCTCTTGCTCTATGGTAAGGGTACATGACCTCATGACAGATAGGCAATGTTAGTAAACTTCTCGTATTGGATGAGTGCACGAGTTGAGAATGCTTAGTGGTGACGAGTCAGTTTTTGAGGTGAGGTGGCTATGGGTCAGTTTGTTTAAATTCTTTGAATTGAGTTGTCTATACTTTGGTATGTTAAGGATGGATGAATATGAATTTCGTATGCCTATGCTTAATTGTCGGTATCAACCATAGTCAAGGGTAGAGTGTATGATTAAGAGTGATTTGCTCCTCCATAAATGATATGTAATGTCACGCTCCGGCCTTAGGGAGCGGGACTAGCGCTTGACCGAGTTACCCCAGTCCAGCAAGCCTACCACCCAACCTTGCCTATGAATAATTTGAGAATAAGTGACAAGAAATAGACATGAGAGGATAAAATGCGACATACCAATTTTCATTATTTACCAAAATATTACAAATTCATAGTTTAAAAGTGGAAACATGCCCAACAACTACAATATTTTTAGTTTGTTACCCAATCAAAATACAACCCACAATATGTCTACGGAGCCTCTAAGTGAATATGAGTACAATATGAAAGTGCTGGTGGCAAGGCCCCGGCTATACCTCAAAAGTAATGTACATGAAGACAATACAATATATGGGACCTGGTATAGAATAGGGCTCACCAAAATCCACTGAGTGGAGGGTATGCTGCTATCAAGGATTAATGGCGCCTGGTGAGGAACCACCTGCATCCATTGAAGATGCAGCGCCCTCGGCAAAAGGGATGTTAGTACATATAAAATAGTACTAGTATGTAAAGTTAAATACCCTCTCATGGAATGGAATGCCAACATAAAAGGAGAGAAATGTGGAAACAGTAAGAAAAAAATCAATACTTATTTAAATGTCAAGTTAAAACGAAGTAAACTTTCAAGTAAGCATTAATCATTTAGGTTGGGAGACCTTAGTACCGACACACCACCATGCACATGGCATGGAGTCTGATCTCCGCCCGATCGGCTAAGCTGTCTCACTCCAATGTATGTGGGTGGACATGGAAATACAATACCACTATGTGTGCAGCATGGCGTCCGATCTCCACCCGATCGACTATGTCGTCTCATCACAATATCTGTGGAGCAACATGGTCCTTGCTAGCTATCAACTCATCCAAATCAAAGGGAAAATCTTAGTATAATATAATGGGGACTCACCCCTCAATCAATTCCTACACTGGCAGTGTAGTTTTGGACTTGGGCATTTATAACCCAGCCTTCCTCGGTGATCTAATGATACTCCCAAAACATTTGCTATATAAAATAAAAGTATGCATCTCATGGCTTTTTATAATTATTTTCATTCCATTGACACTCTTGGCCATACATGATATTCTATATTCTTGGCACGATTACTGCTTTTTATAATTCATACCTTTATTCCTCTACTTGCCATGGATCATTATAAAACATTTAAATACGTTTGAAACATTCGGAAAGTCATAGCTTTAACTCATAAGTATGTAAAAGCTCATAGAACATTGGAAAGAAGTACAAGAAAAGCATAGTGATTTGAAATTGGAACACGAATCAAAACCATAGGCCTTTGGGTAAATCAATCATTAGAAACAATCCAAAACAATGGGAGTAGAACTTGGACAAACTGTAATTGGAGTTTACAAGGAATTCATGGAATTCGATTTTATGGAAGGAGTTTAGCCAACATACCTCGAGTAAGATTCCATAGGATTACTACAATGTTCTACTACTCTTAGCAAGTTCAATATATAGAAACATGATCAAATTGAACCATTATTAGGAAGGTATTCACAGTCCTGGTGATGTTGGAATTTCATCAAACACATAGTGTGCAAGTTCGACTACAAGGTTTTATAGTGGAATTCCTTCGCCCCACAACCAATTTCAAATAATAATTTACCTATGGTAGTTCAACAAGCTCCATATCACCTCTATCGATACATGCATGCCCAATGACACACACCCAAATCAAGAACCACACCTCACATTCTTCTCATACACCCCAAATTTTTAAATAGAGGGCTTATGGCTTCCGATCACCATCCCATAAGCCCCAAAATGATAAAATCTATACTTAAATCCATTACAAATATTGCATGAAAGCTTAGGAGAACTTACCCGGTTGGTTGAAGATCTAGTGAGTAGCTTCCTTGAATCTTCAAGATTGAGCAAGAATTAAAGAGTAGGAATTCGGTCCGCGAAACGAATTTGTGGTCACACATTGGACCGTGAAATAGCCCTCAAAATTAAGCTTTTCTTGGTTCACTCTGTGATGGTTCTGTGGCTAGCGGAACAGATCTGCAGTCATGAAATGGACAACAGAATTTCCATTTTCTGCAAAAATATTCCACCAACTCCTTGATGCATTGCAAGTAAAAATATCCGTACCGCAATCCTCCGAGCACATTAGTTTACCTAGGCACGAAAAACCTCGAATCCTTGGCAAACTTTTACGGGGCCTCACATATGAAGTTGTTGGGGGGTGTAGTAAGGAATTACATTGCTCGAGGGCGAGCAAGAATCTAAGTATGGGGTGTTGATATTTGGCTTAAAGTATGTGTATTTATATGCATGTCGCCTCATATTTTACTCAAATTTTATGTTTTTGCATGTGTGTTGTAAAAATTTGAGCTAAATTGTGGTGTTGTTATGTGTAGGAGCCAACTGGAAGAGATGAGGAATGAAAAGTCAAGAGTTGGAGCAAAAAGAAAAAAAAGGAATGAAAATGCATAGGGCAGCGCCCAAGGTAGCGCGATGTGGTACCTGGGGTGTTGCAGGTAGGCCCGAAATTTTATTAGCACTCAGCTCAGCGCAGGGCCAGCGCGACGCGCTTCCCTGGACACTGGGTTCGAGATTTTTCTTACTTCGCTCGGGACTTAGTTTTGATGGCCCTACACAACCCCAACTCGTATAAAAGGAGTTCTAAATCTAATTTGGAGGGAGGACACGACTTTGAGAGCTGAACATACACGAGGAATACTCGGGAGCATGGATTATTAGTTTTCTTCATACTTCTTAGTATTTTCAATCATTGAAACACTTGTAAATTTGTTTAGTACTCTCATGAGTGGCTAAGACCATTAGTTCTGGGTGATCTAGCCATGAATATTATTATTTGAAGTTAACTTCTCCTTGATTACAATTTGTTATCATATGGTTGCTTCTTCAATTTTGTGCTTAATTGCTTGATTGTCTGGCCAACGGTCAAGTTCTATCAACTATTTCGATAACACCTAATAAAGCTATGTTTAGATTAGAGGAGAATTTAAGAGAGCATGATCTTATCTCTAAAGTAGTGGGCGGAGTTGTGGTTAGGATAGGATTATACCTAATCGCCATGCTTAATTGAATACTGTGACCTTAATGCATTCTTGATAGATTAATTTTATAAAAATATAGGCGTTAATCTATTTTGAGTAGGCGCATAGTAATTCGGGAGAGTACTACAAGACACACTACTCGGTTAATTAACAACTATAAAGCAAATTGCGAAAAAGGGAGAATTGAC